GGGCCCTAAAAGGTCAACGTTTTATGTCATTTTCAGAAATGGTAGCCTGTATTGACACTATATATTTCGTTTTCAAATTCTCTAGGAGGTTGATGGATGTTTTAGATCTGGGTAAAAATAAACTGAATAATTCGGCGATAATTCCCAGTTCCCGCCCCGTCCAATCCGTCTGCGCAGTAGAGAGCCCTAAATAAAGCAGCCTAGGGTTTTCACATCTCTTAAAAGAACGTTTCCTCTTAAAACGGTTTTTTGTTTTGACATCAGATAAAATTCAAGGGTAGTGCATGAATTAAGTTTAGTGTAGGGTCTCAAAGTGATTGTGGCTTTTTTGTACGATCAATGACTTTTTACAACCTACGGTTGCTGAATTTTTTCCGTAACGATGAACAGAAACTTTTATGAAACAAAGTTGAAACCCAGTGTTCCTGTTCAAAACATTTCTAACGCTTGGACCTATTTTGCCACCCAAACATAAGGAAGACACCTACAGCAGGATCTACAAGCCAGGACACAAGACACAACAAACACTCAAGACACTAGCTCAAACTTACAAATTGTGCCGAAAAATGTCTTACGATTAACTCTTTTTTGAAGGGTTAACTTTTTTTCTTGATGTTGTTTTTCGATTTTTAAGCCTATCGACTTAATTTTTGCCGTGTTACCAATAACCCGAAATTAACTGGGGCGGACCAAGGAATGATTTATGAAAAAAGTAGGGTTAGAGCTTGTGTCCACTGCGGGTTAAAGCTGTTTCATTGCCAATACTTTCCAACCTTCTTCGCCATCGCACGAGTTTCTACCAGACACCTTCAACAACCAGAATCTTACCGTGATCATACGCACAGTAAACTGATGTGACGTTCTACTCGTTACGCAGTAGAATTGTGTGATCTAATTATTCTGTCCAGATTTCACCGGTTGGAAAAAGCTTGTAAGGTATTTCGTGGTTCCTTTAAGCTACCTACGAGGTGTGTGGAACTCTTCAGCCAATTCGGTGATATATATTTTTGTTAAACCTTTTTTAGCCGCGGTCGCGGACTCTTCCCTTTTAAAATTACTTTAAATTTGACCTCTCTATTAAGCTTACGCGTTCACCCCATATACCACCTAAATGGCATATTTATTGTATTTTACCTCTATTGCTGAAACGGTCACTAAGTTGGATAACAGTGCGAGTTGACACGATAAAAGACCAATGAATGTACCCTTTCTTAAAACGATCATATTAAAATCATACCTACAATCACCGAACGAACGCTTTGTTGGGCAATTACCGTATGTCTACACAGGTCCGACCCGGTTGGCGAGCACACCGCACGTTAGACCTCTTTAGAATGGTCTTGACTGATGAATCAGTCTAGTTGTTCGAACAAATGTCAACAGTTCTCGCTTTCAGTCACCAGAGTGACCAATATCAGTTTTCTCCCAACAACATCAATACAAAATCAAGAGAAAAGGTTATAAGAATATATAAAATAATCACCTAAGGGAAAATACTTTGCTCTTTAAACAAATTCTCTCAGTAGTTCTTTAAGGAAATGTATGGAGATAGTATGGAGGATTTGTAAATGTGGATATTGGGCCTAATAGGCCTCTTAATACGAGTTCCAAAAACCTTCACTTCCAAAATGAGGCCAAAATGAGTTTTATTTGCACGAGAATAAAAAAGGCTGAGCACTTAACCTTGTTTTGATACGGAGGACCGGGGGAACTTGTAAAAGGCCTACTGGGGCTTAAAGGCTTAATACGAGATGTTTTTTCTCAGGCTTCTTTTTTTCGCGTCGCTGTTTTTGTTAACAATAAAATGATCATGTACATTATCAGATCCCTGCAATGCGTTTAAGAAGTTCTCTGGATTGGATGAAATAGCAGATAGGGGTTGGGGGGATTCCGGACTCCACCACTGATTAAGATCCTGTTGTTCCCCTCCCTCTGAAATCGAAGCTCTAACCAAACCATCCAGGAGTGAGCGTTTTCTTCACAGTACCCCACAGAAAGTTTCCAGTTTCCTGCTGAATTTTCACATCGTTGACAACTTCATGCGTTACACTTTTGCCCAATTCGGCTGCGCTGTTTTTCACAACAGAAGAAGTAACAAGTTCGCCCAGAGAAGCCGCCATGAAGCCTTTGACTTCAGGGTCCTTGACCAGATCTTCTAGAAGCACTTTGCACGCATCTTTTGTGTCCTGGTCTAAAATCAGTGATTTAATGTAACTAAGCAACAACACTCGGGTTTCGTCATTCGTTAACAGATCCGAAAGCGTGTTCTTAGCAAGTTCCGCGATCTTTTTTTCTGTTGACGGATCGCTGAGTACGTGTTGAGTCAACTGTATGGCCGCATTTCTTACGTCTTCTCTGTTAAGTACTTCCATCACAAACGCACTGGCCAGCTTTGTGATTTCCAGGTCACGAAGAACGTCTTGAAGGACTGCTCGCGTGACCTCATCGGCCTTTTGTATGACGTTCTCATCAGCTACATGGAAAAATTAAATTAAAATACAAATTAAGAAAGAAGAAAGAAATTAAGAAAGACAAGGTAAGAAGAAACGCAGTAATTTTCTTGCTATTTTTGACCCGTTAATAACAGTCACTAAAATCCCCATAATGATGTAAACCCTCATAACATTTCTGTTCCACAACAACGACATTTACGACAGTGACGAGCAAGAGCGCAGACCAACCTCGTCCCCAAGGTGTTGCCGCTTTCCACTCACCATATTGGAAAACGACAAGACCCTGGAGACAAACCATCTTGACCAATGGCAGAGTGGAAGAAAGAGCACCGGAAGTCGTGTTCAGTCTTTTCCGTACCTTTTTTCCGATCTCATTTGCCCTAGCATTGTCTGTGCAAAAGCAGCTAAACACTTGAAGGGTGTGGCATTAACTTCTGATGACACAAGCAATTTTATCGTGAACCTTCTTCTCTGATGAAGACTTTGTCATGCAAAGCCTGGGTCAATTAATGATACAATCTCAAGCACAAGGATGTTCTCACTTGCAATAAGTATATGTAACTTCAGAGGCATAAAAAAATGGTGCTAAATGTGTTTTAGCCTGACATGTGATGTCACTGGTTTCCTGGCAAAATAGAGACAAAGGAACAAGCAGAGAAATTCAGATTTGGGAAGTGCTTCTGAGTGGATAAAGCATATTTCTCATTTGCGGAAACCAGTAGTGGCATCGCAAAATGTTAGCTGTTTTCTCAGGTTACATATTTTGGAGTGTAAGAATAACAAAGGGGAGGGGGGGGGAGCTTATTTTCATGATGCCGTGATCGACCATTGTTGGGGTCTGTGAACTGTGATGTACTGCTAAAACTGATCTGTGAATCATGATTGAAGTGCACTCCATGAAACACAAACTGCCCAAATCGTTGATTCTGTACAATTGAAGATCAATTGAAAAAATAAAAAGTGTTAATTTGACCAAACGACCTTATCTGGTGGCGATTTAACTTCACTTTTGAGTCTGATGTAACTTCACACTTCAGACCCACCTACAGCTGGCTTCCCTAGGGAATTTATAGCCAGAGATCACCCTAACATGTGGCCGAGATCAAAGGTCAGTAATTACACTATTTGTTTTGTGACTTGTGTAGTGCAAAATAAGCAATTTCTCTCGTGACGAGACCCCCCTTGCTCCCCCTCCCCCCCCTCCTCAACTAAGAGTTCAACATTTTTGTTGCTTGTGCTCCTGCTTATTTAACACTGTCTTTGGAAATGAAGATCACATATGAAATATAAGCTAAGCATAAGCTTATATACCTCATTTTTATCATAAGCATTAGTGACTAAATAATCATAGTAACAATAATATTATCAGTGCTAATCCTAATGCTATGCTAATGCTTACAGTCACCCCATGTCAGGCATAGCCCTCCCTGGCTGTGATCTTGTGGCCTCTGGTGGCCCCTTTGACCTAACTTTTGCTACCACGCAACTAGAAAATCTTGGTTTTCTCATAGGAATCGCATGCTGGTCACCCTGGATTTCACAGGTTCAGAGCACTGAGCTCCCTTCATATTTTCTAAAAGTACAGCCTTGGAATGGAAATTAAATATAGCTGTGGCAGTGAATAATAATATGCCATAATGTGAAAATTCCAGGGGCTGTTTGAATCATGTAACATGGCCTGTCATAGGATGAACCATTAGAAAGGAGGCAGTGAACACGTGACCTTTCCGAAAATATCTATATCATTCATTTAGCTGGTTTAAGCTGTTTTTTTTTCTAGCTGCTACAAGAAAACAACGGCCTCCGTTGGTCTTTTTTACGCGTGGAACAACGTTTTCTATTCTTTTGTTCGCAAAACGTAACGCTACCCAAACACATGACATTCCCGGCCCCGTCCCTTCCCCCGCTGCAGTAATCTATTTTGTTGTTGACCTTACATACCCAGTGATCTGCTGGCGACGTCCGCCACTTCATCAGCGACGTTTTCTTTTAACTGTTCACGAAAAATGTAAATAACGAACCCAGACACAATAACAGCACTCAATCCCCATCTCAATACAGAGTGTCCCCTGACGCGAAATGCCTCCTCTAACTCTTGCAGTCTCTGTAATATCGTGGTAGTGTGATAGTGATGAGGTGCAGCATCTGCAGGAATCCGATCCTGTTTTGAGTGTTGTTCTGGGATTTTCTGGCTGGAAAATCTCCTTGGTACATGCTCCCTGTTTATCGCTTTTATCCATGGGTTCGAGATGAACGGAGGAAAGTTGAAAGAACGAATACTTCGTGTTAAGACGTATCTTTGTCTCCCATAGTTCGAAATGCTAGACCGGTGTCTGTTCAAAAATAGGGATTTCTGACAACTGCGGAGCTGAGAGATCAAACCTCTGGTCATAATTTGCTACAACGACGGAAAAGGAACAGAATAATCAGAATTTTAAGTCACAGAAATGGTTTGGACAAATGACCCGCCATATTGTTTACTGCTGTCCTTGTGCTCAGCGTCCATCCAAGCGAAAGCTTAGTGACCGCTCATTTATTTTTTTCAAGATGGCGGGCAAACGGTGCATCAGATGTCTCTGGGAGAGCGATATTCAGTGGAAGGCCAGATCTCAGTTTATTGAAACATGGAAAAATCATTATTCAGAAGAACGACTTGCAGCATTGTCTATGGTCTGGGCTAATATGAAGTTCCTAGGCTGCCGATATCCGTCAAAAACAGAGGAACTTGTCAAAGAGCTTGAAGCAAAGGGACCCCGAATTTCGTTGCCGGATAAATCGGTAAAGAAACCCAAACCTTTGATAGGGAATTTCACGATTTATGAACCAAAAGAAGGAGATGAAAGCACGAACAATAACCCCGTGAGTATTTTAAACGAAAGTGCGCAGAAGTCAAAGAAGACAATATCTTTTGAAGACCTTGGTTTTACTGAGAAAACCTCTCTGTTTTCTTGTGCGGTGATAATCGCAGACAAACTAATTGCAGCGGGTGAAGGGCCTGGCAAAAAGCAGGCCAAGCGAATTGCTGCTGAAAAGGCTTTAGAGATTCTTCGTGCTTGTCAGCCAGTCAAACGACTTGGACCGACCTCTCAACAACATCAAAATGCTGCATGTGTGTCCAAAACAGATTTAGTGTCGAAAGCTTATGTAACGGCGCCGATTATCTCTGATGACAATATTGGCAACCAACTGCTGAGAAAAATGGGATGGACAGGAAGTGGAGGGATTGGTAAGGACTGTCAGGGTCGCACTGAGCCTGTTATGGCTGTCGGCACAGACAGAAAGTTTGGTCTGGGATGTAACCCCACTCAGGGGGCAGACGTGACAAAAGGCTCTGTCCAAGATGTCCTTCTCTCATTTATCAGTGGTGGTGACCAGCAGATTAAGTTTTCTAATGAACTATCTAGAGAGGACAGAGCAATTATTCATACCATTTCACAGCGGTATGGATTGAAGCACAGGTCTTATGGTAAAGGCCAAGAGAGATATTTGGTTGTAAGTAAGGACTAATACATTGTAGTGCTGCCACAGTTGACAGCAGCTGTCTTATTAGCTCAGGGATGTTACCAAGGCTTTAGCCAGAGGGGTGTCCAGCCATCCTATGGACGTCCATTTTTGGAAGAAATACAAAGAAAATTCACTTTATCTCTTATAATTTTATGGGAAAACATGCCTTCTGGACGGCCAGTTTTCAATATCTGGCTAAATGCCTGGATGTCACCACGAGGCACCTGCACCTGCACCTGTCTCTGTTGTTACATGGATAGATGGAGCGTTGGTGTCTGAAAACATATTATAGTGGAAACCTGCTCTACGGACACCCACTTAATACAGACACCCATATATGTATATAACGGACAGTTTTGTCTGTCCTGACAAAAAGCATATATATTTCGGGACACTTTTCTGTGTCGCGAGTCCCGAGGCACAAACTCTCGCATATTGTCAACTATGCTTTACAGACATCTGGTTACCTGCGCACCGTCTTTTCTTGTCATGTGCTCGTAGGGCTCGAACCCTGTTCGAATACTATTTCTGTGGGTTAATACAACATTATTACTTTAAAAAGTAGCAAAATAGCGTGACATGTTTGATTTTGATAAGTCTGTTCTTCTACCTGACTGACACTTGTACTGGAGTCCTTTAATTAGGTTTTGTGCCTCCTGCCACACTTCCTTGGCTTTTTGTGGCAGTCATTGTTCCTACCCGTGTTGCTCTTTGTCTGCTTTATTCTTTATATCATGTTTTGTATTTTCTGAGAGCCTCCTTAACAGGGACACCCAGATAATATGGTCACCATTATAATAATAGTATGGGTTCCACTTGACCTTGTTTAGCAATGTTGGTACCCTGTGTGCCAAAGGTATCTTGTTCACTACATCGTGTGAAGCTTCTTTTGCAGGTAATATTGTACCTAGGGTTTTTTCTTAGTATAAGGCAGGATAGATAGTTTTTATTACTGACTGAATGTTATTTATATTTCTTACTTGCCTTTGAGTGGTAGCTAACATGAAAATGTAGGAATATAGGTTGAAAATTGTAAGACTTCTAGAAATCTAATAATATATAGAAATATAATAATAAATTTAATAACATACAGATAAAGATGTCTTTGGCTTTAAAAAGCTGTGTATAATCAAAATTGTGATCAGCAAAGTTCACAATAGTTGTGATGCAATCATGAAACATACTGTGTCTTAAATTGTTTAATTCCACCAAGCTGAATTTTTCTTTAATAAGCGGATGATTACACGTTTCTGGGAAACTGCCCAGCTACCCCTCTCCTAAGCCAAAATTTTGCCCTAAGTGAGAAGTAAGTGTTAATGTTGGCTTAGGGGAGGGGTAGGTGGACAGTTTCCCAGTTCTAAACGTATCCGAAGAACCTTCTGTTTTTAAAGTCTGGCAAAATAGGTTCTTGCATTTGGGGACACTTATGGGCAATTAAGGCTAAGTAGGTTCTTAGCTAGGTTCTTACAGCAATTGCTCTGAATTAAGGCCCACGTATACAATCACAGTCAGTACTTTGTATAAAGCTGTTTTAGTGCAGGAATTACAGTAACACTTTTATTGTTAATTACAGTGTACAGTCAAATTTGCAACCTCAAAGCCAAACTCGGTTCAAATGTTTATTATAATATTATATTGTTACCCACAGATAAAAACCTGCTTGATTTTCCTTGGCTAAACACGAGGTTCTTGTATCTTTGGGGTACAGTGGAACCTTCATATAATGAACCCTATATAACGGCATCCTCAGTACAACGAATGATTTTCTTTATCCCAATCATAGTAAGATTTATGAAAAAGACTCTTGATATAACAAAACCTCGATATAGGGTACAAATTTTGCCAGTCCCTTGGTCCTTCGTCAAATCGAGCGTCCACTGTATTGAAGTTGCCAATTTATGCCAGGAGGTTCTTAATCCAGTAGGTTCTTACACGCGGGATTCCCCCCGGGGGAGGGGGGTACTTCCTTATAAGAGGCTAATGGGGATGTGCCGCTGGATGGGGTCGCATTTTCAAGAGAGTTGCTAGAATGGGTCGCATATTTTCGGATTTTTTGGGGTGAGACAGTTCTTCATATTTCTGATAAACAAACGTACCGGAATGTTTGTACTGTAGATGAAAAGTAAAGTGCTCTTCATTCAATCTAAAAAAAGGGCAATTCATAAAAATAGAAAGTGACTAAGTTGGGGTCGTGAAAATTACATATTTTCCCAAAAATGACTAACATGGGGTTAGGGGTACTTAGAGGTCAGCGGCATATACCCAGCAAAATTAACCTAAGTACCCCCCCTCCCCCCCGTGGTTTTTACTGTATTCACAATTCAGTTACTATGGTACATGCTCAAAGAAAGGAAGAGATCATGAAATATATGATGGTAATAATCTCGTTGTTTACTTCTATATTAGCTGACCGAAGTACTGCTCATGAATTTCTTCCCCATTTTAGTCCTGTTACCTAAATCATTTGCTGCCATCCTTTCTTCACGAATCAGTTTGCTGTGATTATTATTTGTTTTATTTATTTTTTTAATATTTTTTGCGCAACGTTCTCACAAACGCAGAATCAAAAACTATTTTTATGAAGAAAAAGACTCATTTTATAACTTGCAGCAAATCGAGGGACAAATACATGTCTACTGATGTCACTAACTCCTAGTAGAGGAGGGGTGATTTCCATGGGAGACCGGTGATGAAACATTATAGAGCTTTAGCAACGACGACTGCAACGGCAAAGGGAACTTCAAAAAGGAATACATAAATTTAAAAACAAAAGCAAAAGCACTTTATGGTACATTTCCTTGCCGTCACTTCATGACTAGTAGGTGAAGGTGAAATTTCCTGATTTCACGTTTCATGGAGGACTTATTTATTAACATTTACTCTACAAGTAATAATTAAAACAAATTACATCCTGTAAAAGGGAAATATCCAAAAGCGACTATGCGCTTAGTTACACGGCGAAGAAGTTTTTTTCCTTTCTCATGGGTGTGGCCTCCAAGAATTCAACTCCAGTAAAATCTACCCACAATCTGCATCTAAAGCGAGCAGGAAAAAACGTGAATTTATTTTAATAGGGACGTTTTCGCTGCCGTCGCAGTCGTCGTTGCTAAAGCTCCCTATTTTCTTAATACCATTGCCGGGATTACCCGCCCCGTAACTTCGACGGCTGGGTGCCAAAATGTTGTTTAATTTCATTTCTAGAAATATGGACACAAGTGAGCAAGAACCCAGTCACAAAGGAGGACGATGACGTTGTTCACTGCCGTATATACACGTGTGGTGGGTACGCACCATCGTTGGTGTTGGTATATGATTCACGCTTGGTGTGATCCAGGCATTCAAAACATATTTTGGTGTTCCCAGACCAGTACTCAATCGCAGCACAGCTTGGACAGAGCTGTTTGCATTGCTCCAAAGTGACTCCTCCACCCCGCTGAAGCTCCCTGCGATAGCTGTGCGTACACCATTGAGGCGTATGATCTACCCACTGGTTTAAAAGAACTGTCAAAACAAATCGAAGCAAATATTAAATTATTTGGATGTCTGCAGGCGGCGGTGTTTTGAGTTTAAGGTGTAAGAACAACTTTATACCTTAACTCTCTATTAAAAAGCCGAACTGAAACGCACTTCCGTCATACATAGCCCATGATAGAAGCAAACTCGACGCTCTGACAAATGTTCTTTGATCACGATTTTCTCTCTTATTTTGAAGCTAATGGTTCAAATTGCTAAAAGTTCTCCTTAAAATAGTCCTGCCGTCGAAAGGACGGCGTTTCTTTTCCTTCACTCACTCTCTCCCCTTTTCGCTTTTCTCGTCGCCCTCCCCCTTCCTTCCCAGAAACGTCTATGGTCACACCCTGGGAGCGCGTTTGCCCATTCATCCATAGTTGAGAGTAGTGTAATGAGAGCTCGTTGCAATATCATATCACATCACCAAATTAACTATATTGCTTATGAAGTCCTTAGTGACTTCGTATAATTGTGGTAATTTTGCCGGACTAGTGACCAATCCACCTATTGCCTTTCTAAGTGTCATGGCAATGCGACAAGACAATCAAAGAATAATCCCCGTAATTCAAATACCCCCCTTGGCGAGGATTTTTTCCGACTCAAACATGCGCATTTACAGTGTCTGTAGATGCAAATACCTACCTGTCTGACACCTGGCCCCGGCGTATCCAGGCCGACAGCTACAAATATATCCATTAACCCGGTCAGTACACGTGCCTCCGTTAAAACAAGGATTGCTAGAACATTCGTTGATGTCTGCGAAAAAAAAAAAAAATTAGCGTGGAATCTGTACTTTATTTGTTATAAAAAAATTGCAGTGTTTTTAAATGCACTGACCGAGAAAATCCTTGGAAGACGCCCTACAGGGACTAGAAAAACGCTTTCCTAGGTTTTTTTCTCGACTATATGTTAGCGTATAGTCTACACAGGCTCGCCTTAAGCGGTCCCTAGACCTTAGTATTCCGGGCCGGTAATGCGTTTCGGGTCACGAGGTCCGAGCCAGTTCCAAGATCTAGAAGGCCTGGAAAGACGCCTCAGCGGGACTGGGTTATGCATGTCTTGTACGATGGTAACTCCTTGCAAAACTTCAGATTTTTGAATAGAGCTTGTCGAAACCTCTGGAAACCTTGGATCGTGATATGTTTCTGAAAAACTGCCCACCTACCCCTCCCAAAAGCCAACATTAACACTTTCTTCTCACGCGATTGAATTAAGGTTGTTAAAAACTTAGAAATATTTACAATGTCAAAATACTTTATCTTATGAAAAGCTGCACACCAAACGTCAGTAAACTATTCATAAAAAGAAAACGTCAATATCAATACAAAATTCCGGCAAAACCCTTCGCAATTCAAAATTCCAAGAAATCACATAGACTTATAAAAAAAGTCAAGTCAAAAGTCCCAGTGGATGATATAAACGTCAATACGCCTATTCTAATAATGTGGATAAGTTTCTGATCAATGAGGCGAGCGAGCTATAAATCTATTGCTGTTGCGGCATTTTCCGTACTATTCCCGATAAGAAGACGTATCAAAAGACTAGACTTAGAAATATTTTGAATCAACAATAACGTAATACCGGTAATTGAATTCGGCTGGGTATGCATAGTTTTTCACATTATACTCAGCCTCCCTCAATAATCCTGAATAATTGTCATTAATACTGAAATAATCATTCGAAATAATGCCCACAGATCATTGCTACTCATTTGATAGCTTAAATTGGTGCCGGAAGAATGTAGACAATAAATCATATAGATTTGAAACCTAAACAGCACAATTTTTGACCGCAAAATTAAAAATCGCTTGAAACTTTTCCGAAACTATTTATATCGCTGAGAAGATTTCTTACTTGTCTGACACCTGGCTCCTGCGTATCCAGGCTGACAGCTACAAACATATCCGTTAACCTGGTCAGTACACAATCCTCCGTTTAAACAAGGATTGCTGGAACATTCGTTGATGTCTACGGTAAAAAAGCAAAATTATAGTGAATAATTAACCAAAATAATGACCACCAGGAAGGGATTACACTTTAAATAGCTTGGCAGCAATATACATTCTTAAATTATGTTAAAGACTGAAAAACTAAAGTAACTGGTGTCTCAGGAAACAGCTGACATTTCGCGACGCCATCACTGGTTTCCCCGCGAAATGACGTCTGAGGAACGAGCACAGAAATTCCATACTGATGACGTGTCACTATCCAGATCCGAATAATGCTTTTGCATTGATTGGTTGAAAAATAATTTGCTTCAACCAATCAGAAGCACTACCCAGATCAGGGTAGTGACAAGTCATCGATATGGAATTTTTGCGCCCCTTCCTCAGAAGTCATTTTCTGGGGAAACCAGTGAAGGTGTCGCTAAATAACTGCTCTTTTCTCAGGCTAAACGAATCGCAATTCTATTAGTTCTGTCCACAAATGGTCACTAATATTCCGGACACTTCATCCGAGCTGCTTATATATTTCTCGTCCTCCGTAAAAGTCACTGAAAGGAAGAGACGATAGACAGTCAGTTGAAAATGTAAAAGAAAACCATATAAATGAATTAAATTTTAATAGTTCCGGACAGCCCACCGTCCTTAAGTTTGAGTGATTTAGGGGGGAAAATTTAGATGAAGTTCTTCTTACTTGTTTCACAATTAGCTCCTGCGTATCCAGGCTGACAGCTACAAACATATCCATTAACCTGGTCGGTACACGATCCTCCGTTTAAACAAGGACTACTGGAACATTCGTTAATGTCTATATCCACCTATTGCCTTTCTAACTGTTACGACAATGCGGCACTGACAATCAAAGAGTAACCCCCGTAATTCAAATGTGTACCCGCCTCAGCGAGGATTTTTTCCCACTCAAGCATAAAGAATATTTACGGTGTCTGTAGATGCAAATGCCTACCTGTCTGACACCTGGCTCCAGCGTATCCAGGCTGACAGCTACAAACATATGCATTAACCTGGTCAGTACACGTGCCTCCGTTAAAACAAGGATTGCTGGAACATTCGTTGATGTCTGCGAAAACAAAAAGATTTACTTGGAATCTGTAATATACTTGTTATAAAAACGGCAGTGTTTTTAAATGCATTTACCGAGAAAAGCCTTGGAAGACGCCCTTCAGGGACTAGAAAAACGCTTTGCTAAGTTTTTCTTCGACTATTGCTAGCATATAGTCCACACAGGCTCGCCTTTAGTGGTCCCGAGAGCTTAGAATCCCAAGCGGTTCACGCGTCTCGCGTCAAGAGGTCCGAGCGAGTTTCAAGATCTAGAAGGCCTAGAAATACGCCTCAGCGGGACTGGGTTATGTATGTCTTGTACGATGATAACTCCTTGCAAAACTTCAGATTTTTGAATAGACGTTGTCGAAACCTTTGGAAACCTTTGATCATTATATGTTTCTGAGAAACTGCGCACCTACCCCTCCCTTAAGCCAACATTAACACTTACTTCTCATTCGATTGAAGGTTGTTAAGAACTTAGAAATATTTTGAATCTATAATATAAAAATAATAATTGAATTAGGCAGGGTATGCATAATTATTCACATTATACTCAGCCTCACTCGATAATCCTGAATAACTGTTATTAATACCGAAATAATCATTCGAAATAATGCCAACAGATCATTACTACTCATTTGATTGCTTAGTAGTAATTAAGTTGACAAACGTTAGTTTAAATTGTTGCCGGAAGAATGAAAACAATAAATGAAATAGATCTGAAACCTTAGACAGCTTAATTTTCGACTGCAAAATTAATACTCGCTTGAAACTTTTCCAAGCTATTTATCTTGTTGAGAACATTTCTTACTTGTTTGACACCTGTCTCCTGCGTATCCAGGCTGACAGCTACAAACATATCCATTAACCTGGTCAGTACATGATCCTCCGTTTAAACAAGGATTGCTGGAACATTCGTTGATGTCTATAGTAAAAAGCAAAATTATAGTGAATAATTACCCAAATAATGACCACCAAGAAGGGATTACGCTTTAAATAGCTTGACAGCAATATACATTCTTAAATTTTGTTAAAGACTGAAAAACTAAACTAATTGGTGCCTGAGAAAACAGCTGAAATTTTTATTTCGCGACGCCAGCAATGGTTTCCCCGCGAATTGACGACTGAGAAACGACCGCAGAAATTCTATACTGATGACGTATCACTACCCAGATATGAGTTATGCTTTTCATTGGTTGAAAAAAGAATTTGCTTTAACCAATCAAAAGCACTACCCAGATCTAGGTAGTCAAGTCATCAATATAAAAATTTCTGCGCCCCTTTCTCTGACGTCATTTCCTGGGAAAACCAGTGATGGTCTCGCTAAATGTCAGCTGTTTTCTCAGGCTAAACGAATCACAATTCTATTAGTTCTGTCCACAAATGATCACTAATATCCATGGCACTGCATCCTAGCTGCTTATATATATTTCCCGGGGGGGGGGGGGGGGTATTTCTTTAAAAGGGCTAATGGCCCAGGGGGTGGGTTGTGGGTGGGGGGCCATTTTTCACGACTTAGCCTCGGAGAGCCCCCCCTTTTTCCCCCGGGTGAATTGGACGTGGCAAACCGCGCGGCGCGGTAAAAACCCCCCACCCGGCAAA